TCCCACAATTGAGGATTCACTCAGGGCTGTTTAAGTTACCCTGAGAGATCACTGAAAAGCAAAGAGGCAGAAAGTTTTTTTAGTTGCACTCCGCACCCAACCCCAGATAGACTCTTACCCCAAGCCAAGGTTGAACATTCAACAATAGGTTTTTAGACTTCTCCAATTCAGGATTTAAATAAGAAAAACAAACAAACCACAACACTTTTCATGTGAAACATTGCAGTTTTTGGCACTTGCTAGCCGTTGTCCGTATATATTGTAAAGCCTACATTCCCTCCCGGCTGATGGCCTACTCACTGGCAGTGTCACCCAGGTATCCTGGTAGCTGTTCCTTCTCACTTGCCATGACTTGATCTCGTATTACTGGGACCCAGTTCCCCGCAGCTGAATGCCAGCTGCCACTGCTGTATGCTCCAAGGTACCCCCTTGGGGCAGTTGCCCCTTGGTTGAGACTTTGCTATCTTTAGTCCATTTATAGCATTAGTCCCAGCCACCTGGGGGGGTTCAGTCGGCCCTCTGGCCCTTTACTGCTCCTCATCATGTCATCAAGGGGCCCTTCTTGGTCAGCTGCCACCCCTTGCTATCCCTAGGCCCTCTTCCAGCGGGTTTTGCAATCCTGGGGCACAATCCACTCCTGCCCTTCCTTCATTCCTACAAAGACAGAGAGCCCAGCGAGGCTGGTGGCCCACAACCCAGGCTCGTCCCCATGTCAACGTCCTCCCTAGACGTTTCTGATCTGGGTCTGGTTTCTTTACAGTTTTCCTCACCAGAACCACCACTGCTAGTCACAGCTTCCCCGCACAGGCTGCTCTTGGGAAGCAGCACTCCTCCAAACACTGCGCAGCACAGCCGGATCAGCTGCCCCATCTCTGACTGCCCGCTGATCCACTCCGGTGTTTGCCTCTCCAGCGTGCCTTCGACTCTTCCTAGAGACCCCTCACAGGAGCCAGAAGTACTTCTGCCGACCTGCTACGCCCCAATCCGGAGGGAGATTATGCTTCAGAAATGCCATGACAGAACCAGCTTTCCACTCCCGTGTGGCACCTTCACTGAGGTAGGTGACAGAAGCAGGTTATTTCCTGGGCTTTCTCTTCCCCCTTCACCCATTTTAGTTGCAAGTTTTGTATCTGAAGCTCTTAGAGACATCATCTGAAACCAGCCTCATACCCGTGTTTCAGTAGCGCCAAGAGGCATCAAAACCAGGATTCACTGCACTGCGTTGAACATGCAAATCAAAAGAAAAGGAGCTGGGAGGCAACAGGAGAGAGAAAGAGTACCAAGCCTGCACAAGACGGTATAACTATTAAAAAAAAAAAATGGATGTGGATGTCTCAACATGTGGTTTACTTCCTCTTCAAGATCATAAACAAAAATATTAGACTCTTGCCAGTCTGTACTCTAGCCCCTAGATAATCCCACTCAAATGGATATACTGCCAATCCTTTTGTTTGAGTCTTTTCAACCATGACAGACTTCCTATTGAAATCAGTGCAATTTTCCAGCCTGATACACTATCAAATCCTTTAGTAAATCCAAATACTGCAGCATAGATTATACTCCCTTCATCCACCAGTTTTCCAATTCTATCAAAGTAGCAACTCAACTTCATTTGTTCTGAAAAGATTTATGCATGTAGATGCTGATGCAACGCTATGTAAAATATTCCATATTTATATTTTCCAAATATAAAATATTTGGAAAATATTCCGTATTCCATATATATAATTTTATATATAAAATTTTGCAGACCCAGCAGAGTGACATGCCTCTTCTTCCCCTTTCTCTAAATCATCACTCAACTGTCCTCTTCCACTTTGAAATCTAACTTGGAAGTGTGAGTTTGGCAAAACAGACTGCATATTTTAAACCATGTTCCATTCAGCAGGCACCACCATATGAAGAAAACCTGAAAACACAGCTAATACTATGGGATGCTCACACAGGGCACTGATGCTTCTACATATACAAAAACATTTAGCCTTGGTTTATCTAGGAAGATCCATGGAAGGGGACAGGAAACAGAAATAAGCTAGGAAACTAAACCAAAAATACCCTAGAACTGAGCTGGAACAATAGCACCAAACAGCACCACTGACCACGCCAGCAACTCAACTAAAATACTCACTGTATGTATTCACTACCACTGGAGCTCAGCATCCATCTCCCAAATTGTACCCACAGTAGGCTGGATTCATCCCCAGTCAAGACAAAATTTTATCAGTGTTATTTCAGCAAGGCTTCACTTGGCAGTCCAACCAGAAAACGGACAAAGGGATTTCCATCACCTGCATCTCCTGCCCCGAAGCACTAATCCTAACATAATCCTCAAGCTCAATGCTCCATCAACCAGAAAGCAATAGCTGTGAATTTCATCAATCGTAATCCTGTCTCTTTACAACAGAAGAAATAAGAAGCAAAAAAACAGTAAACTGAGTTAGAACATAGTTGATCTAGACAGTCTCCAAACCAGAAGCAAACAGCCAAATTATGCAATTCTGTAATGTAAAGGCAGTTAGCGTTAATTAGCCACTTTAATAACTTAAGGGCTCCGGTAGCTTCTAAATCATTGGAAATGTTTAATTCAAGACTTGATATTTTCCTATACCTCTAATCACAGTTCAAACTACAGCATAAATTCAGGGAAGTCCTCTGACTAGAAAATAATATAAAAATATGAGTGGGTGGTTATGTATCAGGTCAGCAGGCAGAGCCCATTCATCCTTATACTAACATATCTGAACATTAGTTACATTGACAACAGTGAAAAGGTAAACAATTCATTTGTCCTAACATATCAGTTTAACTACCCAGCCAATCTGTTACAAATGTAGAAGTACCACTTCAGGATCCTGAAGCTTTCGCATTTCTCAATATGATAACCTCTACATACAAATAGGAATTCTGCCATTTCTATATTTACTTTGCAGACATTGCACAGACCGCTGATTTCTCCATTTAGCAATAATAGCTGTATAATTAAAAAGGGGAAAAGCATGTACAAGACATTTGACATATTGAGCATTTCCTGTGCATATGCTTTGATCTAATCGCTTGAATGGGGATGAACAACAGACAGACAGTATTTCCTTTTTTCTCCCTTCTCACAATTAAATTACCAGGTAAGGAAATAAAAAAGGGCTTCCTTTAGATGTTAAAATACACGAGCTTCACAATCTTCATACACTGCATGGCATGTTTAAATGCAATACTTCTTTTATTTTAAAAGTCAAATTATACCAGAACTGGTTTTAAACCCGTCTCTTTTCCAAAGACTGCACCACACACAGTATATATGCATATATACAGATGCACATGGTATTCCCACCCCCCACACCAGCACACATCAAGTCAGATTTCAATAGCCTCAGACACCCCCTTTCCATAAAGCATTTTTCATACTTACGTAGAAAGTGTTTTTCCAGTAAGGCGATTTCCAGGTGACCTTTGATCTCATTTAGTCTATCAGACTCTGTCCTGTTAAAATCCTGAACACCTGAAGCCATGTTGACGGTCCCTGGACCAGCCTATTAAAAAACAGAAGAAAAAACACAAAACACATTGATGGCTCAAAAGGAAGCTTCTTCCCGAAGTGTCATCTGAATACACCAGTTTACTTCCACAGCTGTAGACAGCTGCGTGAAAACCATGTAAGCATTTTAAGCAAAGCCTAAAATGTATCAACTCAGCAAGTCTCTCATTCAGCATTAGATTACCACAATGAATCAATGAGCGCTAAATCAAAGGCACGGCATCTCTCAGACAGGTTTGCTGAGTGAGCTTGCGCAGACCGCAGGGAGTTCCAGAATGAAAGATTGTAGTTCCGCTGCAACATCGCCATTCCTTATCCTTTCTTCTGCTGCTTAGAAGCACGTTTCAAACAGCAACCCTCCCCCACATTCAAGCCAATGAAATGCACACAGCCAATTAAATGTGTGTAAGGAGAAGGGGGGAAAAGAGCATACAACAGATTTTTCTGAACACAGACAGACACTGTATAAATGCTCTCTTGTGCACGTGCTAATGCTTTTGAATTAAGCCATGATAATGATGGAAGGAACCCTGCAGTCACGATGCAGGGACAGCCACACACAGAAAGGACTATATGGTTACTGTTAGGTTTAAGGGATATAGGTGGTGCCAAAACAACTCTTGCTGCAGGGCTGACACCTCAGGTTCCTACTCTTTTGGCTGTGATTTATTACAGTTTTTAAACAGCAGCAGCTGAATGAAACTAAGCATCAGAAATACCACAGAATGGGTAAATGACAAAGAAAGCATGGCTAATAAGAGAAGCAACAGCAGCAGCCTCCACAAACCAAGCTATCACAGAAACATATGTATTTGCACAGTAACAGGCAGGTGAGAATATTTGTTTCTTGTAAATTATATATTTCCAAAAATAACATTTCTCTTCTGCAGATGGTTAGCTAAATGCACATTAAGACAGATGCACGCAGCTTGCAGCGGTAGTAGTATTGTTTAGGGATAACATTGGTAGCAGCTCCAAAAGCTTTCAGCTTCTGAATAGCAAAAGGGAATTTTTGTTCTTAGCCCACAATTAAGCCTTCTTTACACCTTCAGACCTCAAGTGAGAATGCCTGAAAGCCAGTTTAAATAAAGTACATGTAATAAAGGAAATGTAACAAGTAAATGCAACATTTGTTCAACATAAAAACCCCACATTTAGAGATGGTTAATTTTGCAGGCTTCCCCCGATTTGCCCAAGGATTTACAGGAAATACAGGCACTATTCATCATAATATTGTCACAGCATTTATCTTCTCTTTTTGGAATAACTGGCCCATCATCACACTATTTTGTTATAGTACATATTCTCTCAAGTTCTGGCTAAATAGATGAAGGCTGAACTTCTAGGCTTTGCCAAGGATAACATGCAGTTAAGCTAGAATTCAAATTTACAATGCACGAGCTATCCCATAGTAGTTCCCCATGCGGACTCTTCTAGTGTACACAGAGAAAATGCACACAGGAAGTTACTGCAGAGTAGTTAGTGAGCACTAAACTTGCATTCTGGTATCCTGCCTGCTACCCTTGCCTATGTAGCCCAATCCCCATACAAATGAACTACATTAATTATACTAGTGCACTAACGAAGCAGTTACAAGACTTAACTTGTTACTGCTTGAGAGGTCTGAAGGAAATCCAAGGAGGGCGATAGAAATGCAAAATGCATCAAAAGCAGCTCTTCTACCTCATTTCTGTCACAACACACTTTCACACAGTCAAAAAAGGAAAGCTGTTGCATTAAGTTGTGCTTGGGGCACCAGCCTATACTTCTATTATATTAAATTACAAAAAAGGGCTTCCTTCTGGCATTATTCAGTATGGGCATGCAATACATTGGGTAGCCTGTCAATCTGCCCAAAGGTGGGCATGAACATGCTGTTACCCCTCCATTTCTGAAAAATTGGCTTCAGCTTCAAAAGATACACATTTAACAAAGCACAAGTGACAAAGCCTCAACTCCCAGCTCGGAGGAGATAACACAGGGCTGTCTGAGGAACTGTGCCAGAGCATACCATTCCTCACGCTGTGTAAGGTCAGAGAACAGGATGCCACCATACCCGGCAGAAATGTTTGCTGAAAAACCTCATCAGACAAGCCCTGCAAGGACACTTAACCTGATCCCCACTTTTCAGGTGCCCCACAAAAATCAAGTACACAGAATTTCTTAAGTCATCCACAGCTTTCTTTTGTTTTTGCCTGGGAGAGAGGGGTGTTAAATTTAGAAGCAAGTATGCAAGCTTGACCAGAGAGGGGAAAACAAAGCTGCTACTACCTGGAGACATTTAAAAAAAAAAAAAGTTAACAAGGCATACCACTGTACCACTGTAGCCACACACGGACAAAGACCTCACTTAGCCCATGTACTGACATTCAGTTTCTACTGGAAGAATTACAGCTTCCAGAATCCACAAGTGTGCAAGCACTCCACCTTTTCCAACTTGGAGCAAAAATGGCCACTATGGAAGAAAAGTGACCCGAATACAATCAGGTAGAAATCACTCCTAGGAGAATGAATATCTGTGCACCTTCCCCTGCCTTAACTCCTGAGGACAAGAGTAGATCTGTGGAATAGCCTCCCATGTCCTCCAGAGACTGGGATCACCCCAGTACAGGGCAGGTGGAAGAGACGGGGGGCAGTGGGCAGCTGCACACAAGCATGCCCTTTCCTACTTCTTTATGATACACAGAGAAAGCTTAGAGGGAGTTCTCTTTGTTTTCTGCTTATATTTGTTACTTTAAAAACCTTCACTCCCTCTATAGCAGGGCGGACACTTATTTTGGCAGGAGGGCTACTTAATGAGTTTTGGTGAGCTGTCGAGGGCTGCATGGGTAGCCCCACCCCTTGACAGTTGTCCCATCCCCTGGTTGCCATATTGGGACCAGAAGTCCTACCCCTAACCCCCGACCTTTGCCACTGGAAGTTCCTCCTCTTGCCCCCTGGAAATACTCCTTTTGGAGAGGAGAATTGCCATCTTGGAACCAGAAGAAAAGAAATCATACACTAACAGTCAAACACCTACTATAACATTTTAATTTTATAACAAAAAAATATTTGTCATGTCATGATTTGTGTTTGTGTACTGTATATACAGGGGAATGCATAACTCAAAAATAAAGTCTTACTCTTGTATATTGTGTATGGGAGGTATGGGGGTGCATATATGACAGGTAGTGGGGAGGTGCATGTGTGGGGGGCTTCTGAGGGGGTATGGCTATGTATGGGGGGCATAGAGTATGTTGTGGGGTATGTGTATATGTGGGGGCATTATGGAAGTAGGGTGTGGGGGGTGTGGGGATCCCCACACACTCCCCCACATGGTGTGCAGCCTCCACTGCCCTACGCAGGTGCTGACAGCGCGCGGCTTCAGCCAGCACTGCATATGGGGGTAAGAAGCGCGCCCTGCCCAGTGCCTCTATTGTAAGGGCTCTGCACAACGTGCATGCAGCTCCTGCACTGGAGCTGGCTGCCTTCCCTGCCCCGGCTGCACAGATCCCAGGACTCCACAGGGAAGCAGAGTCCACAGCTGCCCTCCACTTCCAGTGGAGTCCTGGGACCTGCGCAGCCAGGGAAGGCAGCCAGCTCCAGTGTGGGGCTGGATAAGGGTGGGCTGGGCAGGGTGTGTTCCTCGCCCCCATGTCCAGTGTTGGCTGGAGCTGCACACTGCTGAGTGCCAGCACCTGTACAGGGCACAAGCACCCCAGCCAGCAGCAGGGGCTGTGTGCCATGGTGGGGGGAGAGGTGAATGTATGGGGGTTCCCCACATCCTCCCTCACACCCATACCCTACCCAGCCAACTCAGTGCCACTACCAGTCCCAGCCCCACCCAGCTGCAGCTGCCCCCACCCCTGCCACTTCCCAACCTGGTGCCCAGAGCAGGTGGGACACTGGGGAAGCCAAGCAGGCCCCCTGGGGCCAGCTGGAGCAGCAACAGCCCTGCCCTGCCCAGAAGATGCTGGTAGCTGGGCTGGGCCCTTCCGCCCATGAGTGGGAGCAAGATGCAATAGGGTATGTTGGGGGTGGGATGTATACCTGGATGCCTCCCACCCTCATGGAGTACAGTTAATTGGTGGGTGCCCGTGGGCTGGATGAAAGTAACTGGCAGGCCGCATTTGTCCGTGGGCCATATTTTGTCCAAGCCTGATCTATAGCCTGGCCAATGACACATTGTGTTGGGCACCTGATGTCCAACTCTGACTAGCTGACTTCAATTTGTTCCTAGTCTACTGAGTTGGGGGTTACCATAAGATTTAGTAGATTTTGTGGTGATTTGCTGAATTAAGACTATAGTGAAGATAAGACCCAGGATGGAGAGATCACTTAAGTGCCATCACTAGAATCAAAACAGGTTGGCAACAAAACAGAAGCGGGGGAAAATCAGCTTCGTTGTTTACAGACTTGTAGGAAATAAAACTGTGAGCGGGACTTAAAGGCTTCTAAACACATACCAGCAGAGTGGTGCATGCAGACGTGCCCAGTTATTCAAAAAAACCCTACCAGGTCATCTTTCAACCTCAGTCAGTATTCAGACCAGAAGCCCCTGAATTCTAGGGACCAGTATCCTCTGTAGCATTTGTGATTAAATGAACTGCATTATGACTAGAGTGACAGTCCATGTGCAGTAGGTGACAACACACTACACTACTGTAGAACCACAAGCAACGTTCTGAGTCAAAGCTCGATCCCTCCAGCACCTCCATTTTTATTAGAGTTTACATTTGAAAACACAGCCAAAGCAGAGACGAAGAACTATGCATGACTGACACGATAAACCCGCATATTTCAAAAAGGAACCGAGTGTCAAAACTGTTCTGACCTGATGTGGCCTTTCCAAGTTCTTTGCAATAAAAGAATGCTCTATTATTTTTCTGTAGTCTAGAAATGAGTGAAAGCTAAAAACTGTCATCTTCCAAGGAATGCCTTGAATCTAACAAGGTTGAAAACCACTGCTTTAGGATATATACATTTAAGGATGTAAATAGACACAAACTTTCAGCC